CTGGAGTGCAATGGCACAATCTTGCCTCACTGCAACCTCTGCCTCTTGGGTTCAAGTGATTCTCCTGCATCAGCCTCCTGAGTAGCTGGGATTACAAGCGCTCGCCACCATGCCTGGCTAATTTTTGTATTTTTAGTAGAGATGGGGTTTTACCATGTTGACCAGGCTGGTCTCGAACTCCTGACCTCAAGTGATCCTCCTGCCTCAGCCTCCCAAAGACTATATAATTTATGTTTTTATTTTAATAAAGAAAGCATTATAAATTATTAATTACATATGTAATAAATGAATACTTTTTCTTTTAAAAATTAAGAACAAATTTTTTGGCTACCATGTCTAATTCCATGTCCTTCCTTTATAGGGAACTATTTTCATCTTTTGGTGCATTACCTTCCAGTTTTTTTCTATGTATTTCCATACATATAGAAAATAGAATATTTGGGATTTAAAACATGTCACATTTCGTACTATATGCAATGCTTTGAAACTTGTTTCTCCCCGCAACAATTTGTCTTTTTGTGTGTGTTTGTAGAGACAGGGGTCTCACTGTGTTGCCCAGGCTGGTCTGGAACTCCTGGGCTCAAGTGATCCTCCCGCCTTAGCCTCCCAGAGTGGTGGGATTACAGGTGTGAGACTCTACACCTGGCCAGCCAACAATTTATCTTAAAGATCTTTCTTAATTAATATCCAGATCTAATTTATTATGGCCCACTGCATGAAAGTGTGAGAGTTTATTTCCTTACCTGCTTATGGATAGACATTTAGGTTGTTTCCCAATTAGAACAGTATTTTTTTTAAGCCATATTGAGCTACATAATTCCCATACCATAAATTCACCCTTTTAAAGTGTACAAATTAGTGGTTTTTAGTACATTCACAAAGTTGTACACCAACCCCACTATCTAATTACAGAACATTTTCATCACCCCCCTAAAGAAACCCAGTACCCATTAGCAGTTATCTCATTTCCCCTTCTCGGTCTCTGCGAACACACATCTACTTTTCTCTGTGCATTTGCCTATTCTGGACATTTTGTTTTAACAGGATTATATGACAAAATGTGACCTCGTGTTTGGCTTCTTCCCCTTAGCATATCGGTTTCAAGGTTCATCTGTGTTGTAGTATGTATCTGTACTTTGTTCTTTTTTCTTTGGCCAAATAATATTCCACTGTATGGATATACCACATTTTGCGTATCTATTCTTCTGCAGATGGACATATGAGTTATTTCTTCCTTTTGGCCATTATGAATAATGCAGTTACGAACATTTGTGTGCAAGTTTTTGTGTCAGGACATGTTTCCAGTTCTCTTCTGTGTATACTAGGAGTGGGACAGGTGGGTCATTAGGCAATTCTTTGCTTAACTTTTGAGGAACTACCGAAGTGTTTTCCAAAGAGGATATGCCCTTCTACATTGCTATAAATATGAGCTTTTACAACAAGAACAAGGAAGAACATGTTCATGGGCCAAAAGGGTGTGTTTATTCCTGAGACATTTCAACCATATTTGAAGCAAGCTGAAAAACAAACAACTCAGCAATGTCCAGCAGAACTTTCTGTGATGATGAAAATGTTCTAAATATGTGCTATCCAATATGGCAGCCACTAGCCCTGTGTAGCTGTTTAGCACTTGCAAGGTGACTCTTGTGGCTGAGGAAGTATATTTTTAATTTTAATTAATTTAAATATGATTACACTCACGTGGCCAGTGGCTACTGTATTGGATAGCACAGTACTTATTCTCTCCTGTATGTAAAAAATGACAGTACCCAAAAGGTCGCCATAAAGATATTGGAGAAGTGGTTCACCTTCCATCATGTACCTTGCAACTCCAAGTTAGCTCTTGTCACAGATATCACAAAGAATAAATTCAGAGACTGTAATGCATTAAATAAGAATTGTACCACACTGAAATTCAGGTAACTCCCAGCTTTTACAGAGTTATGCCTGGAAAGCTGGTATTTCATGTGTCTCCTTTCAGCTCACCAGTTTAAAGAACTGTCTTTATATTGTTTTGTTTCTTTGTACAATAGGAACTCATGCTCACTACAGAGGAGCATGAAAAGAAAAGAAAAACTACCAGCAATAATTGCTGCTAAAATCTTGGGTGTGTGTGTGTATGTGAAAGCGTGTGTATATGCATGTGTGTGTGTATGTATGTGTATGTGTGTACTGTTAAAGAAAACATTATTTAATAATCCTTCTTAAAGCACGGTAAAAAAGGCTTTATTTAAAACCATTGAGATGGGAACAGGAATTACTGCAATGGGCCTTGAAGTAGGGGAGAGAGACTGGGCTTAACTGTGAATACAGAATAAGCATGTGAGAATTTATAGCCAAGGAGCAGGGTTGGGGGCAACAGATGGAAAATTACTAAGAGAAAACATCAGGAGTAAGGATGATTCTGGCTAAACTGAACTAACGGAGTTCTTGCTGAAGGCAGGCTGGGATAATCGCATGTCGTTTGTGGGATACTGGAGGATAAGAGGCCTGATCAGTCAGCTATTGAGAGTAATTAGATATTGAGGTTGATCAGGTATTGATGTGGGTAGTTCTTTCTGAACTGATTCACCATGGTTCTTCCTGAAACTGGGTTTTACAAAGAAGTGCACAGATAAGTCTAGGAGAAGATTCAGGAGCTGGACTCAAGTTTGGTCAAGCAAAATCTTTGTCGGTAAACACAGATTTCAACTATATTTGAGCTTTGGTAGAAGAGCAGAAGTGACATTGGAATCAGTCTTGTTCCTTCCTCACAGTTCTCTTCACAATTCTTCTGATCAGATTTCATTTCGGAGACCCCGTCTCCCGGGAGAGATGGACATCCAAAAGCCCAGTGTGAAGAGGCTCAGATGGGCATGGAGGGAGGACAGAGAGAGCCCAGGAGAGACAGTAGCCACTGCCTGGGGAATCGTGGAAGACAGCACAGGAGAAGCAACATTTGAGCTGGACATTTGAATTAGAGGAATTCACAGTGCACAGGAGAGAAGGAAAGGTGTTACAGGCAGAGGGAATTGCACTGGCAAAGGCTTGGGGCATGACAGAGCCAGGTGTATTCTAGGAAGGGAGTCTGCTCCTGTGTGGCTAGAGGAGCAACAGCATGGGCCACATGTGATTGTCTGCCTTCCTATCTTTTATTTACCCCAATGAGGTAAGTAAAATGTCATCCCTGTCTTAAAGGCAGAAAAATGGGAGCTGAGAGAAGTTAAGTAACTTACTTAAGGTTGCATAGCTAGTGAGGGACAGTGCTGAGATTCTGATCTGTTTGAGCACAAAGCCCTATCTTGGGAGGTAGGGTACATTAGACTCCTATTATGAGGAGTCTTTTCTGTCACACTCAGAAGTTCAGAAGTCACCCTGGGGTAATTCAGCAGGGTACCAGCTTGACTGGATCTGTGCTCTGGGAAGATCTTTGTGGCAGCAAAGCAAAGACAGTTAGTTTGTAAGCAGGTTAGCAATTTACCTTGGGCTGAACTATCTTCAGGGCATCACATACACCACACACACACACACACACACACACACACACACCCCTTCAAAGAAAGGAGCCTTTGAGAACCCAGCCTTCTTTGTTTCCCTCTTCCCTCTCAAATGAAAACTCTGAGTTCTATGTTTATTCCAGATCACAATGGAAGAAGATTAGAGGGGCTGGGGACTCTGCCCCTTGCTGAGGGACTTTGAACTTAATCGATTCTCACATGGCTTCAGTTTCCTTATCTGTAAAATGAAATCCTTGGCGTTTCTACCTTTGCGCACCCTTTCCATCTTTAAAATTGTCTGGTTTCTAAGAGTGGTGGGACCTATTAAGGGATTTCACTCTGGTCGCATACTACAAATATAGTTTCGGACTGGCTGCCCACAAATTTGGATAATCTCTTAGCATTTAGAGACTGAATTTTCTAGGCATCACTGAGGACTTAAGAGTCTTCTTTGGTTTTCGGGCTAGGCCAATGGCTGCAAATAACCTAATTAGGACCTTGAAAGCAGCTTGCCCAGTGAAAGCTAATTTAATTAGGGTGTTATTAGTTGTTATAACTACTTTTTAATGAAGCTTTATTACATTCAACTACCCAAATCCTAAGCAATTGTATTAAATGTTGGCAAATGGCCCATTAGTCTTTGATTTCACGTCTTTTTTTGCATTGTTCACATCTATTCTGAGATTCAGATGCCTGTAGTTCATGTTTCCTCTTTGAACCAGGTGCAGCCTTGAAGGCATATCTTCTGTTTTAGTCGCATTATCCATTCTCTGGGATTCCCCATCCACTTATCCTAATGATAGGATATTGGAGTGATATGAGGGGTGGAGAAAGGCTGGGAGATCTCTCCCCAGTGGTCTTCCATATTCCCTAACGTTTCCATCATTAACCACTCCATGGCTGCAGGACTTTGAGAACAAGGGCCCCTGGTTGAAATGTAGATGCCATTTGCCAGACAAATGCAGAAAACCATTATTATGAATTAACACCTGAGGATTAGCTCATCATATTAGCTAATTGGTCAGTACAAGAGATTTCAACAGAATGGATTCTGGATGGAGTAGTTTTGATAGTGGCTGGTGTGTAGAGGAGGATGAAAGAGGAGGTAATTAGTTTCTACTGTGCAACAGGCACTGGGCTAGATATGTTTGCATATATTACCTCATTTAATTCTTTTAACAACCTTGATATGAATGTATTATTATCACTGACTTGCAGTTGAGAAACAGGAGCACAGAGAGGTTGAGTCAGCTTCAAAGTCACACAGCGAGTAAGAGGAAAAGCCTAGGTGAGCACTGAAGTGTGGGAAGCTTTGGCCTCCAGTGAGGCAGTGTAATGAACCTGGGGGTTAACAACTTCAGAGGATTGCCTGAAGCTAGGTGAACCCCAGGATCGGTGACTGAGGGTCACTAAAGACAAGCTTGATAGGGCTCACAATTTGGCCTGAGTCCTGCTGATCTTTGTGATCTGTTTCTTTTCATTCTCAGTGGGCGGTGTGATGTCACATATGATGTCATCATTAAGAGGCTAGGATCTGGCCTGAGGCAGACTGAGAGTCACATCCTGGTTCCAGCCTTTTTGTGCAGGTATGACCCTGGACAAATTGTTTACTCTCCCTAAGCTGTGTTTTTTTTCATCTGGAAAGGAAATAATAGCAGCTTCCTCATAATCTTCTGGAAGTTGTAGAGTATGTGGCAAGCATCCGACACCAGGCAAGTGCCAGTGAGCAGGGCTTCCTCCGCATCTGAGCTGGTGTTGGAGTGCTTTGTGGCAATGGTGGGGAAACCGGAAACATGAACACAGGAAATGTAGGGTCCGTTCTTTTCTTTTTTTTTTTTTTGAGACAGAGTTTCACTCCTGCTACCCAGGCTGGAATGCAATGGCACGAACTCAGCTCACCGCAACCTTCACCTCCTGGGTTCAAGCAATTCTCCTGCCTCAGCCTCCCGAGTAGCTCGGACCACGGGCTGCGCCACCATGCCCAGCTAATTCTTGTATTTTTAGTAGAGACGGGGTTTCACCATGTTGACCAGGATGGTCTCAATCTCTTGACCTCTTGATCCACTGGCCTCGGCCTCCCAAAGTGCTGGGATGACAGATGTGAGCCACTGTGCCTAGCCGGGTATGTTCTTATTAGGCTGGTATTTCTTAAACTTAAGTGTGCAATCCTCTGAAGTTGTTAACCCCCAGATTCATGACACTGCTCCACTGGAGGCCAAAACTTCTCACATGTCAGTGCTCTCCTAGGCTTTTCCTCTTACTCGCTGTGTGACTTTGAAGCTGACTCAACCTCTTTGTGCTCCTGTTTCTCAACTGCAAGTCAGTGATAATACATTCATATCAAGGCTGTGAAAAGAATTAAATGAGATAATATATGTGAACATACCTAGCCCAGTGCCTGCCTCTAGTACCCAGAGGGCTTGGGAAAACCCAGACTGCTTAAGCTGTACCTCCAGTTTCTGATTCAGTTGTTCTGGGTTGGGGTCTAGGAACTGTCATCTATAACAGGTTTCCGGGTGATGTCGATGCTGCTGGGCTGAGGACCCCACTTGAAGACCCGCTGGATAAGGCCACTCGCAGTGGATGTTCTCTGACAACACAGGCAAGCAGCTGCAGGACGGAGTGCTCCAAGTCCACCTGAGCCTGGGGTGAGTCAGAGAAGCAGAGCTCTGGCTGTTTTCCTATTCCTCAATTTCTACCCTGTCTCTGTGGTGTCTTGAGTCCTTGAGAGCCAGTCTTTGTGCACAGGGGCCAAAAATGTTGTCTTAATTTCAACACCTTATTTATTTATTCATAGCCATGCCAGTCCCTGGGCCTGCTTAGGTTGAAGGGATTTTTAATTTTGTTTTGTGGCTTGAATGAACTAATTTTGTGGCTGAAAGCACTGATACAATTTGGTTTTCACCGAGAGCAAAGAGAAGTTAGGCTCCAAGTAGCAATTTCCGATTAATCTATCAGTCTGAAAGTTTACATTTTTAATAGGCTTATCATTTTGATGTAACAAATGGTATAGACATTCTCAGACACACAGAAAAAACAGTGCTTGCTGTCCATCATTCTTTTTATCAAGAAGGGGCAACTCACTGGATACCAGTGAGATAATTTATGTAAAAATTGTTTAACACAACGGCTTTCAAAGAACAAATTATAATAATTTATGTTATTGTGTTTACTGAACAAGTGTTTATTGAGCCCTTATAAAGTGACAGCATGCTTGATGTCAGGTTTTCTCCACTTCAGCAATGATTGACATCTTGGGCTGGGTAATTCTTTGTTGTGGGAGCTGTCTTTTGCACTGTAGGGTATTTAGCAGCATACCTGGCCTTTCTCAGTTCATGCCAGTAGCACCCTCAGTGTGACAAGCAAAAATGTCTCCTAACATTGCTGAATGTCCCCTGGGGAAAAATTGCTCTTGGTTGAGAACTACTGATTTACATGAATAATCTTATTTCATCTTTGCAACACCCAATGAAATTAGCTGTTATTTATTTTATTTTAGAGACGGGAGAAAAGAGGATCGGAGAGTTGAGAAATTTACCACAGGCCATAGAAGTAGTAAAGAAGCAGGAGTGGAGTTTGAACCCAGGACTGACAGTCCGGAGCCTCAGTTTTGACTACCATTCTTGCTTCTTAGAGTACACATTTAAGAATGAATAGAAGAGGCTAGGCGCGTGCTTCATGCCTATAATCTCAGCACTTTGGGAGGTGACAGGCTGAGGTGAGTGGGTCACTTGAGATCAGGATTTCGAGACCAGCCTGGCCAACATGGCAAAACCCCGTCTCTACTAAAAATACAAAAATTATCCAGCGTCCCTGTAATCCTAGCTGCTAGGGAGGCTGAGGCCTGAGAATCGCTTATACGCGGGAGGTGGAGGTTGCAGTGAGCTGAGATCATGCCACGGTTCTCCAGTCTGGGTGACAGAGCAAGACCCTATCTCAAAAAAAAAAAAAAATATATATACACACACACACACACACACACACACACACACACACACACACAGAGCAAAGTCCACTTGGTCACAGACAATGTGGTAATTGCTTTCGGGAAGGAGAGAGGTGAATGAGATGAGGGGTGTGAGCCCTTTTAGATGTATTTGTAATATTTTTATTTCTTAAAAGAAGTATAGCAAATTCAGCAACATGTTTAATTTGGTGGAGGACTCATGGGTGTCCCAAATTACTTTTTGTACTTTTTGGAATGACTAAAATATGACAAATCTAAATATTGAAACAGTTTTAAAAAGAAAGAAACATGACCATAAATGTTAGGTAAAGCCATCTGATGTTTTTGGACTGTGTGACCATCATACCTGGCCCTCTAAAAAAACTTTAGTTTTTTTCCTCTTTTGCCTTTTTTTAATAGAGGATTTCCCCAACTATTCAGTGAGAAGAAACCTGTCTGATTTTTGTTTCCTCAAAACACATAGCCCATTCATAGAATTTGTCATGAGGTAACAGGTACTTAAATATCTCCTCTGGCTTCATGTACATTAATAGCTGATGTTCATGAAATATTTACCAGTGTTTGGCACCCAGCTGAGTTATTTTCATCCATTTCTCATTTATTCCTCACTGCAATTCTTTGAGGTTGGTGATTTCAGTCTCGTTTTACAGATGAGTTAACTGAGGCTTAGCAAGCTGAGCAGCAGAGCCAGACAGATATGTCAGATTTCAATGTCCCTGTTCTTTTTTTTTTTTTAGATGGAGTCTTGCTCTGTTTCTTAGACTAGAGTGCAATGGTGTGATCTTGGCTTACTACAACCTCCACCTCCTGGGTTCAGGCAATTCTTTTGCCTCAGCCCCCTGAGTGGCTGGGATTACATGTGCCCGCCACCACACCGGGCTAATTTTTGTGTTTTTAGTAGAGATAGGGTTTCACCATGTTGGCCAGGCTGGTCTCAAACTCCTGACCTCAAGTGATCCGCCCACCTGGGACTCCCAAAGTGCTGGAAGTACAGGAGTGAGCCACCAGACCTGACCTTCAAGTTTCTGTTCTTTCTAGTACAGCAAGCTGCCGCTCAAGCAGGAGTCAGGAAGAGTTACCAAGGTGTCCCAGAGAAGGGAAGGTGCCAGCCCTCTTCCTCAAGATGAGGGGGTAGGATGGCGGTGATAGAGGCAGGTAGCAGGAAGGGCTTTCCTGGTCAGATTCTGGAAATCACTAGGCCTCTGGCTTAGTGGCATTCCCTTGATTTCCCAACCCTGTGGCAAGTGGGTCAAAGTTCACCCCATCCCTGCCTTGTCCTAGTTGCTGGTTCCAACACGTCTAGATTTAGTACAGTCTGAAGATAACCCAGCTTCTCCCTCTAGATCAGCAGTTCAAGGGTAGGATTAAATTACGCCCCTGACTGGGGCCCATTGGCTCCCTCTCAAAAGGCCTCCTTCCCTGGCAGAATCTGCCCATGTGGCCAGCTTCTTGCTTCTTGAGCGGTGCTCAGTTGAGTTTTCAGTTCGTGAGTCTGGCATCTTCCAGGGCCAATCCGAATTTTGCAATGAAAATGTGGTGCATTTGCTGTGCCCTGATCTAAATATAGGCTGTCCGCTGCATTCCCTTATCCACACAGGCCCCACAGTGGGGTGGGGGTGAGCTTGGTTGCCTAGAGGAATTCTTCCTTATTAACTCATCCTGTGAGTGCCTCCAACTGGATTGTTTTCCTGGGGATGGCAACAGTGTTTTATTTTGTTATGGTTTTAAATTGGAACATCAGTCCTGGAGCCTCAAACTACTGATGTGGACGTGGTGGGCCTGGCAGCCCACCACGTGTGAAAGATCAAATTGGTTTACACATCATGGCTGACTGCTTTTTGTTCTCAGCTCCTGGATAAAATACGCACGTTCTGAGGCTGTCTCCTCTGGCTTCTCTGATGGATGGGTGTTACATTCCAAGAGGGCATCTAGCTAGCCCTGAAGTCAGGGAAGCTGACACCAAATTAGCTGGAAGGATTTGAAGCTTTCAGGACATCTTATCACCTTTAGAGGAAGTCATGTAGATGCCTGAAACTTCTTGTGCCTTAGGCAGTGAGAAGCTATCGGCAGAAAAACTGGCTTCTTCATCAATGTTGAAACACACGTTGTGGATGTGCAAATTGCTACACTATTCCCAGAGGGTAATTTGACAATATACATCTGAGGCCTTGCCAGGAGTCTGCCTTTTGATCTAACCATTCAAAGTGGACTTTATCAGAACGAAATCCTAAAGGGCAACTGCCCTAAAGATATTAAGGAAAAAAATGTGTGTATCAGAATATTTATCACAGCTAAAAACTGAAAACAAATTGCACATCAAGAGGGAATGGATTATTTTAAACATATAAAAAGATGCTTAACCTCATTCACAAAAATTCCACCTGTCAAGTTGGCAAAAATCCAAAAGTTTGATAACAGCTCTTAGTGAATGTGTGGGCACACTCAAATTGAAATGTAAATTGATATAATCTCTATGGAAGACAATCTGGCAATATTTATAAACATGAAAACATTTACTCAGAATAGTCCACTTACAAGATTTTACAGATATATTTACTCATGGAAATTGGTGATGTATAGGAATATTATTTTGTAGCAACAAAAATTTAAAATAACCTACAGTGTTTTTCCATGGAGATCTATTTGAAAAAAAAGAAGTACTATGCAGCTATTAAGAACGAAGCTACTCTGTTTACATTGAAATGGGAAGACCTTCAAGATACATTGTTCAGAAAAAAGCAAAATGTAGACTAGTGTTTATGTTATTTCCATTAAAAAGATCATATAAACATATTTATATATGCATAGAATATATCTGGAAAGATATATAAGAAACTGGTAACAGTAGTTGCCTCCTGTTCAATGGAGGGGAATTGGATGACTGGGGCCAAGCCAGTGAGAGACAGACTTTTCACTCCACATTTGTGCCTTGTAAGTGTGATACCTTGTGTGTGTCGTATCTATTGGTATAAATGGCTTGTTTACATAACTGGATTGTTTAAGTACATTACGATACCTTCCATTATGGAATTCAGTGCGCATTAAAAAGATAGGAAAGGCTGAGCATGATGGCTCATGCCTGTAATCCCATCACTCTGGGAGGCTGAGGTGGGATGATGGCTTGAAGCCAGGAGTTTGAGACCAGCCTGGGCAACTTGAGGAGACGCCATCTGGACAGAAAAATTTATAAATTAGTTGGGTGTGGTGGTGCGCACCTGTGGTCCCTGCTACTTGGGAGGATGAAGTAGGGGATTGGTTGGGTCCAAGAGTTCAAGACTGCAATGAGCTATGATTGTGTCACTGCACTCTAGGCTGGAGGACAGAGTGATACCCTTTCTTTCTTTCTTTTTTTTTTTTAAAAAAAAAGGAAAGGAAAAACAAAAAAATGAAAAGACTTGTATTTGTTGATATGATAAGAAATCAGCCAGCATGACTCACTGATTAGTGAAAAAAGCACTGGGTCCTCCAATTTGTGTTAATACACATAACAGCACACACAGAAAATTCTGGAAAGTTACATAGGCAAATATTAAACATGGTTATATCGATGGTGCTATGGTCTGAATGTTTGTGTCTCCCAAAATTAATATGTTGAAACTTAACCCCCAGTGCAGTGGTATTGGTAAGTGGGGCATGTGGAAGGTGAGTAGGTCACGAGGGCAGAACCCTCATAAATGGGATCGGTGCACTTATAAAAGAGGCATTCGAGAGCCTCTTTGCCCCTTCTGCCATGTGAGGATGTGAGGACACTGAATGTGCCAGATACTGAATGTGCCTGCCCCTCGATCTTAGACTTCCCAGCCTCCAGAATTGTGAGCAATAAATTCTGTCGTATTTTATAAATTACCCAGCTGAAGGTATAGCAGCCTGAATGGACTAAGGCAGGTGATATGATTATGGATGACTTTTCCTTTCTTTTGT